TGCTTACCATCGTAGCTGCTTTTAACATGTTTCTGGTCAGGTTGTATCGCGATTCCCCTTCTAAGTATCTCCCTACAAAGCAGAAATGAGATTTAATAAATAAAAAGCTCAATGGTAATTTGGAGGAATCCAAAACAATGGATTATAAATCAAAGAGTTGGCAATCAACCTCTGAAAAGATTTAACCGAGCATCAGGGGGACCACCATCAGCAGCAAAATATTTCCCTGAAAGTATGCCCATTGCAAGTGGGCTGTAGCCCAAAAAGTTGATCCTACAAAATATTGAATGTGTAACAAAGAACTAAACAAGTGAGTGAAACAAACTAAAGAGTAAACAAAAGTAACTTCCATAGAATTTTCAGAAACCCAAACTCTTAATTTTTGAGCAGAGAATGATACAAGTATACATGTCTTTTGCATGATGAGCAAAAATGACAGAATTCTATAACACTTCATTAAGGAGAAGCAGCTGTAGGTCCCTTTTGTCATAGACATATTACTGCAGAGGTAAATTCTGTATTTGTAATGATACATCGTATTCAGAATGACAATTTTAATTATATATAAGAAAAACATGGTGCAAGAACATAATATCATAACTTATTCATATCAATTCCACTATATTCCAGAGATTGGCAATTCAAATTGTAATCATGATTCTCTACATGATGAATTAAATTTCATCTAATACTTAAAACTTGCAGTATACCTCTCATGATGACAGCACTCAGCCATCCCAGAGTCAAAAGTTCGGCAGAGCAAGCTGTATGAATTCTGTAATAAAGAATATAAGGTCTTTATCAGCCTCAACATAGATAAAGCAAGGAAAGAGACAGAGAGGATGCATTGCTTTTAACCAGAAAAGTACAGACAACCTGCACACATACTATCTTAGGGCAGCAAGCATTTCTTTCTGCAAAATGAAGGAACTTCATGACACCATATGGTGTTTCATTACTGAGTCCAATGTATCTGATCTGCCAGTCAAAACAACTGTTTTACTAAATTTTGATCTGTGAGAGTGTAGAGGCAAAACACATTATATATCACTTACCTTACCAGCATCAACAGCTCTGCCAAGAGCATCAAGTTGTTCCTCTATAGGGACAGAAGAGAACTGTCGGACCGGATCATACTCAGTTTCCCCAAACATAGGAACATAGCTGTAGACACAGCCATAAATCACTTTAAAATGATGTTTTTGTGCTATAGAGAAAGCAACAGAAAAGAAAAATAAACTAAATATATGAGACAATATTTCATTAAGTTATTTGTCTCTTTCTCTGTTTACATCATAGTTTGTCTCAAATTGGCAACTCGACAACCGCAACCCCAGGGAAATAAATGAAGGATAAGATCTACATACAAACCGATCAGGCCAGTGGATTTGATATAGATCAATGTAATCCATTTGCAGACGCTTTAAACTGCAAAACTCAAACATGATATCATTAGAGTATAAAAGAATACACACACACTTACACACATCATTTTACTAGAAATCAATTTTTAGCAGTATGGTTAGTACTCGAGCACACACACATACACATCATTATACTGGAAATAGATATATAGTGGTTATCTGCAGTCATGGTAAAACCAAATGATGTTGGTTAAGTTAGATAATAGTTTTCTCAGTAACTCCAGTTGTACCAGTATTTACTATTTATCCAACCTACAAAAGCAGAGAGTAAATGTAGTTTCAAAATTCTACAATCAGTTATTGCAAACCAAATTCAGAGAGGTATATTTGCAACTGATAAACTATGAGTCTATTACTACAAGTTATTGATTTAGTCACTAAAGTTTGACGATCCAAAGTAACAAAAGCTATGGATTGAAGGAAACAAGTTACATCCTATGAAAAAGGCCAAGAAAACCAGATTCAGAGGTAATTTGAAACTATTATAAAATAATCATAATTTATAGATTCAGTCAGTAAATGGTTCACTATTCAGAATACCAAAAGCATTGTTCAAGGAAACAAAAATCAAATACTTTTAAGACTGGGCCTAAAAGGGTAAGTTAACATGCGAGGACAATCAAGAATTAGCAAGAGAATTCCCCTTGATACAAGTGATAAAGAAATTATACACAGCAGGTTAGCATAAAACATAATAATGCACTAAATAAACGGGTGATGATATAGCAATCATAATATCTGGAACTGACCTGTTATCTACAGCCTCAGTAATATTCTTTGCATCTAAACATTTTGGCCCATCTCTAATCCAGCTCATTTGCCCAGATGGCCCAGAAACCTATCTCATAAACCACTTGTTATGATCAACATTCAATGCAAAACTTTTGAATGTGTGGAAAAGATTAATAGATTCACAGATTTACACCATTAGGAAAATACTTCAAAATTTATATTTCCCACATAATGAGAATCATCAAAAGTCTACACAACCAATGCTATACACTTAACAACTAACTCACCACAGTTCTGTTCAACAGATTAAAGCATATATTTAGAGCTCAGGAGGTGCCAGCATAAACAGACATCCTTTGTCAATTTGAAATTATTCAACAGTGTACATTATACTAGTGCCACATGCACAACCTCAGACTGAAAAGTGTCAATACATTAAAAAGATTTAGTCGCATGCAGAGCCTGAATTCAAATTCTTCCAACTACTGTAACAAATCTGACCCTGCAAATTTAACTAAATACCAAAACACATTAACTGATATTCTTTTTCTTCTTTTCTTGCAATGAGACTAAACTAATGCCCTATACAGATTTGGAGTGCACTCGTACTCAAATAAAGATTAAGTGAGATGGGTACAGAAATCAAAATGGAAACTGATCATCAGAAGACATCAACCAATAAGTTAAGCATCTGACAAGGCAAGAAAGAAAACTCACCTTGGTCGCAATGACAACAAGATCACGGGAGATCTTCCTCTTTCTAACCCACTGGCCAACGTATTCCTCACTCTTCCCTTGAGTCTCAGCACGCTGAGGAACTGGATACCTAAAGTTCCAAAACAGAATATGAACATAAAATTACCATTGCTTAGGCCTGTGGTGTTAAACATATAATAGAAACCAAAAGAAAGCCAAAACCCAGAATGGGTTTGAGATAAGTGGGGGGGAAATTGTACATTTCGGCAGAGTCGAAGAAGTTGATTCCGGCGTCAAAAGCTTGATCGAGAAGACGAAAGGACTGAGGAAGAGAGTTCTGCTCGCCAAAAGTCATTGTTCCTAAAGGACAAAACCCAGAGAGATAGAGGGAGGATTAGAGCTTTCAATTTGCTGGATTTTGCAGACATGAGACAGCTGACAGTATAATGATGGACAAACCTAAACAAAGCCTTGAAACTTTCAAATTAGGAGAAAGGTTGAACAGAGGAACGGACATTCCTATTAGCGTAAAGCAAAACCTAGAGAAAAATGGCGGGAAACTTCTCCGTCTTATCAGGTGTGGGAAGATAATGGAAACTTCCAGGCTCTGCTACCGTGTGGTCGTTTATTGCAAGTGTCGATACCGGATAATAATAAACCAAAACGGAAAACGAACTTGGAGATGCAGGGTATCGAACCCTGTACCTCTCGCATGCAAAGCGAGCGCTCTACCATTTGAGCTACATCCCCCACCGACATTGGTATCCAAGAGACAATTTGTAGTTTCTCAGTCAGCAATCAATAACCACTCACGCCGCCAAACACCCAGTAAATCAAAATTGATATCGAAGAACTGGACAATCCAACCATTTTGAATACCAGGAATATCAAAGCAATGGTAAGTTAGACTTAACTTGAAGGAAAAATAAGTGTTGCATAGCAAGAAAATTATTGCAAAGTAGAAATGGTATGGAAAAAGGCGCTCATCTGACCAGCAAAAAGACCAAACTTCCTAAACATTTCGTAGGATGAAATGTCTTAATTCTTATGTTATATTCATTTGATTCTAAGAAAGAGAAGGTAGCATTTCAATTCGCCGAACCTATATTCAAGCAAAGCAAAACCACCCTAAATTTAGGATTTACAAAGATCAATTGAAAGTTCAAAAAAATGCCCATCGAAAACAATTCGATCCTTTGACATTTTATCCAAATCAAGGAGACTCTCTCACACTCTTAAAAACAGTCTCTAAAATTCTTGTGAAGCCGATCCGATATCACCCTTCCCTTTACCAATCTTCTTCGGCAACAGATTCTGATGAATGTTCGGTAAAACGCCTCCATTAGCAATCGTTACAGTCCCCAAAAGCTTGCTCAACTCTTCATCGTTCCTTACCGCCAGTTGTATGTGCCTTGGTACGATTCGATTCTTCTTGTTGTCCCTAGCTGCATTTCCAGCAAGCTCAAGAACCTGCATTATCAAAGGAAGAGAAAATTTTACCATTTTTAAGTTTTACCATCATACAGTCAAATTCATCCTAATTGCGTTAATTAACGGTCCGACATTATCAAAGTAACTAAAAACAAATTAAGATCAAGCAAATGCAAAAAAGGAGAAGGGAAGCGACCTCAGCCGCAAGGTATTCAAGGACGGCGGACAGGTAGACGGGAGCACCGGCGCCGACGCGATCGGCGTATTTACCGGCTTTAAGGAAGCGGGCGATGCGGCCGACGGGGAACTGAAGGCCAGCTTTCTGAGATCTGGAAACAGATTTGGAGGATTTAGGCTTGCCTCTGCCTCCCTTTGTTGATCCCGTTGAGCTCATCTCTTTTGAAACCCTAGATTATTAGTTTGGCAGAAAATGGAGAGTTTGTGGCGATCAATGACGAAGACGTGGGAATGAAGGAGTTTATAAAGTGAGTGGGAAGCTGGCTTGCGAGAGAGGCAGTTGATTTTTATTGGTTCAGGGGTGAAAGCCACGGATTACCAGCGTGGAACTAAAATAGCTGATTGTTTTTTCCTTTTTTTTTTCCAACTTTCTCCCTTTGCTGATTCTTTGCCCTTTTCGGCCGTCTTGGTTTAATGCAAAAATGCCCGTGGGCTCAAAATAATTAGTATTATTATTATAACTTGTATTCGGAATAGCCAGGGGGCTTTACAAAGCAAAATTATTCCTTTTTTTCCCTTGAGCGCACCGTTTTATTGCAGCAAAGTGTAACCCTAAAACCCCAGAATCCCAAAACCCTAAACGGTGCAAAAACCTCCAGTTTGCAGCGAAATTCTCCACCCCCAACAGAAATGGCGGAAATCAGACCAGAGCAACAAACAACAGTTCAAAAACCTTCCTGATCAAACCAAAACTAAAACCTAAACCGAGAACCCATCCCAAACCCCAGAATCCAAGTACTGGTCTTCTTTCAATAACTCAAATCCCAAAGCTTATCCTCTCAATCTTTCCCTCCCTTTTCCCCTTCCCTCCGCACCTTTTTGCTGCTGCCACTCCACTTCCCTTTCTCTCTTCTCCCCTCTTCCTCCTCTCCCACGACGACGTTTCACCCTCCTCCACCATCTCCTCCTTCACCGACGTCGTTTCCTCACTTTCCTTCCGTCTCGACGGCCTCCTCTTAGCCGCTTCCGCCTTCTCCGGTCTCATCCAGTCTTCGATGTCAAAACCCGGACCCCACTTCGTCGCCTCCGCCCCATATCCGTCCGGTTCGTTTCGTCAAGTATCCAGTTCTTGATAAGCTCCATTTACTCTCCGGGGGCGAGGATGCTGTCGTTAAATTCTGGATGTTGCTGGGGAAAGCGTGGTTTTGGACTTGATGGGTCATAAGGATTATGTACAGTGCGGTGATTGTAGTCCGGTAAGTGCTGATATGTTTATAACAGGTTCTTATGATCATACTGTTAAGGTTTGGGATGTAAGAGTCGAGAATTCGAGGTCAGTTTTGGAAGTGAATCATGGGAAACCGGTGGAAGATGTTATTTATTTGCCTTCTGGTGGATTAATTGCAACTGCCGGTGGGAATTCAGTGAAGATTTGGGATTTGATTGGAGGAGGGAGGATGGTTTATTCTATGGAGAGTCATAATAAAACTGTTACTTCAATTTGTGTAGGAAGAGTTGGCCAGGGAATGGAGGGGGTGAGGCAATGGAGGATAGGATTTTGAGTGTTGGTTTAGATGGGTATATGAAGGTTTTTGATTATGGTAAGATGAAGATTACTCATTCCATGAGGTTCCCTGCTCCCCTTATGTCGGTTAGCTTTTCGCCTGATTGTAGGACTAGAGTGATTGGGTCATCAAATGGGATTATATTTGCAGGGAGAAGGAAGGGGAAGGAGAATGTCGAGAGTGGAGGGGGGGATCTTCTAGGTTTTGGGAGCATAGCGGAGCCGGGCAGACGGGTTTTGAAGCCTACATATTTTAGGTATTTTCATAGAGGGCAGAGTGAGAAGCCAGCAGAGGGGGATTATCTAGTAATGAGAACTAAGAAGGTAAAATTGGCAGAGCATGATAAGTTGCTGAAGAAGTTCAGGCATAAGGATGCACTGGTTTCGGTGTTGGGTAGGAAGAACCCAGAGAATGTGGTTGCTGTAATGGAGGAGTTGGTAGCAAGGAAAAAGTTATTGAAATGCGTCTCAAATTTGGACACGGAGGAGATTGGCTTATTGTTAATGTTTCTGCATAAACATGCAACCATGCCAAGGTATTCTGGTTTGTTGATGGGGTTGACACAGAAGGTTATTGAGATGAGGGCTGAAGATATCAGAAGTTCGGATGCCTTGAAGGTTCATATTAGAAATCTTAAGCGATCAATTGAGGAAGAAATAAGGATACAGCACTCATTGCAAGAAATACAGGGTATAATCTCTCCTTTATTGAGGATTGCTGGAAGAAGACAAAAAATTTATTAACTTGTTGCCATTTTGTTGTTTTTGTATTACTTGCTTTACAGGCTTGAGGTTTTTTCGTGATGAGAGAAGCCCCTCAAATTTTTAATCTTTGTTTAATGTGTTATTGAAGGAAATTAAGCTACCATGCTTAGAAATATCATATCAGTTTTTCCCCTTATGCAAATTTTTTAGCACTTCTCTTTAGTTATGCTGTTATACTTGCACCATGCCGCCATGGTTGATGACCAACCTCGTAGACACTGTTAAATTCAAATTGGGTTTCCGGCAGTGCCATTGATATATACCATTTTGAGAAACATCTTCATGTGAATTGGTGATGTAGTTTTGTTCCATTTGTAAGGTTTGGTTTTTCAGCTTTAGCGAGCCAGCCATGAGTTGCACTCAGTCAAGGTTATAGGGAGTACTATTTGATTCTCAATAGGAATTACATACAATGATTTCTCTTTAAATGGCCGGTTAACTGGATTTAGACTTCAATTTTCAAATCTGATGTCAATAGGAATGAATTATTTTTCATATAAGTATAACATGCATAAATGCATCATCTATAGAATGTAGGTCAAAAATTTTTCAATGTAGCAGGTCTCATGGTCGGAAATTTGAAAACTGGGTTGCTGCACTTCTGCATATACTTGTCATAAAATTTGGGGACCGGTAACTAGCTTTGTATGAAACATAATGGTTACAGTCAGCCTCGGAGCAATGACCCATTTTGCCATGCTATGCACGTTCACTACTACCAAAGGCCGTGAAAGCCAGATGATTCTTCATTATAAACACCATACAAGGATTAATTAAGGCAGGGTGATGTTGGATATTGGAGCTCTGCTAAATGAAGGACAATTCCAACAGTCGGGGCATTGTGAAGCGTAGATACACTGGTCAGTTACAAAATCAGCTACACCTAATTTGTGCTAGTTGGATGCCCCTGCAAGATCAAAATCAAAGTAATCAATTTAGCACATGGTGAAGTTGCCATACCCAATCACACAAGCATTAATTTCCTATTACAAGTGAAAAATATAAACCCTCCCGTCAAGGAAGGGGTTAAAAAAAACACAGTCGTCAACTTATGAAATGGGATACAAACATCCATAAAAAGACAAGTCATTATTCTGACAAGTTTTCCCCTTTATTACTTGTTTAATCAAAATGCAAAAGAGGAAAACAAAAAGCTTTTTCCTATGCTCCAATTTCTATACCAAAGGATATATCAGGTCTTAATAACAAGCTAACAATAGATCATGGCCAAAATAAATAATCTATGTCAAGCATAAACCATGTAGGATATTTAATGCAAACAGAAGATAAACCAACAGACGGCTAAGTGTGACTGATTAAGTTTTACATTGATAAGCTGGAAAACTAGCTTTGCGTTAAGGCCGTATTTCAAATGCTCAAGGTTGGAAAGCACTTTAATGTTGTCATACAGATGAACGTATGGGGCAAACATCCTAGAATGGCATTTTCTAACAGAAACTCAAATTTCAGGACCAACTTCCACGCCAGACTTCATAAATCCCCAAGTTATGGTGTCTTTTATCATTGTTGATAGTCAATAATAGATAGAAGCAGGGGCCCAACCACAATTTTAAACAACAAAAGCAAAGCATTAGAAGCCGACACTTCACCTTCTAAATTCTTATCTTAGCCACAAGACCAATTTTCAAATCATGCATGGAAACTAGAAAAAGCATTTCACACCTCACATCCTTGAAGCAGCTAAATTATCCGTAGCTCTTCCAGAAGCTCCAGCCCTTGAATGGCCTCTGTTTTCTTCTCTTGACACTCGTAATGACCTCAACTTAGATGAGGACTTAAGTGAATGTATCAAAGGAGCATCATCCTCTTCCTCCTCATCTTCCTTATCTCCCTCACCTTGAGCATTCTCTTGGTCTGATGTGCTAATTGAATCCTCTTCTTCACTTGAACTGTGCTCATCAAAAAGTCTCTTCCCCTCAATATTTCGCCGCTTCCGAGGACGACCCCTACGTCTTGCAGTAGTCAGTTCCTTCTCATCTGCAATTCATATCAGCTTAATTAGCTCTTGAATCAAAATCTAAAGAACAGTCTCTTACTCAAAAATGATGATATGATCTAGTAAAAGGAAAAACTATTTATTAGAAGAAAACTGCACTGCTTGGGAACATGCAATCAAAATTTCTCATTTCACATACAAAAGAACCATGGAATGATTGAAGTGAAATTCACTGGTACCTTGAATGCCTTCATTCTTTGCACACTTCTCTTGCAAACTATCATAAAAGGTATTATAAGGGCGCCACCCACTTGGATCCTCATCTGTATTTACATACTCCGTCCGCTTCTGGACATCCTTCAGACTACAAAATAATAAAATATTAAGTGAGGCACAATGGTCAATCCCTGTCTAATCCATGAAATAGAATAATTTTACAAGGCATCAGAGAGATTTATTACATGTCTCGGATATCAGGCAAAGAAAGTCTTGATGCAAAATGAAGCACAGAAGCCTCCAGAAAAGACAGCTGTTTCGGAGCATCTTCAAAGGCATACTCGATGCCTTCCTTAACAATCTTTAAAATCTCTGGTCTGTGCTTGTTCCGAGCAGCACCAATGAACATTCCAGCAAGCCGAGCAGCCAGGTTCTTACATTCCTGAAAAGACTGGCTTTTTAGGGATACATCATCACTTTTGGAGTATTCAACATGTCGATGGTAGGCCTGGTAAAATAAACAAAATGGGTTCAACTATTAGAGGGGATATACAAACGAAGACCAGCACATATCAACTATTACCGATGCTTCTCCCACAGGTCAATTGTAGGCCTGTTCAAAAGTTATACTTCTAGCCTTCTATAATCTACATGCCACTCCTGCAAACTCTGAAGAACAGATCTTTGATTTGAAGTGGACAAGACTCAAAGCCCAAGAAATAACTTTACTAATTTCAATAAACATGACAAAATTATTCTTAAAATAGAGCAAACTCTTTTGCATGTGAATATAGTCTCACACAACCTATACAAAAAAGCACTTTCAGCCATTACTCCCCACAGGTGGCAGGTCATTGATGTTAGATTCATGGCTGTGAAAAGAAGAAAAAGCTTTGTTTGTCCTCTCACTTTTTTTTTTTAATTGCAAGAACGTTGGTCAGTCGGCTTTGATGCTGAATCCCAGAACTTATAATCAACCCTACTAAGAAATTCCCCCTTCATGAGGTACATGAGGTTTGTGCACGTACTAGAGAAGAAAAATAAAGAATTTCTAGCTGTGAATAAGCATGCAAGTAAATCTCATGATTTATAATCAATCCTATTAAGATATCCCCCTTCATTACATACACGAGGTTAATGCATGAACTTATGAAGATAAAGGCATAATACCCAAATAAGCCCTACAACTTGACTCAAAAGAGGAAATAAGCCCTCTTATCTTTTATTTCGAGAAATTAAGGCTATAAATTCCTATTTCATCATAATTGTATAATTGAATCAGAAAATGGGTGAAAAGAAGTCCAATAGAGCTAAGGGGGTTTACTATCTGGCATTGGTGGCAAGTACTTGGCACTGTCTAAAGAGAGAAAAATGTCACATGGAAATTAAAGCAATTTAAATTATGTTTAGCTGGCAAAAACAAGAATTACCGAATTATAAAAGCAAAAGGAAAGAAATCTGAAGAAGGGAAAACAAAAACGAAAAAGAGAAGAAAGGAGAATTGTTGAAGAGAATCTGCAATAATGCAAGGCACAAATACAACTAAAGGGATCTTCAATTTATTGGCACATTGGAATTGAAGTACAGTAAGGCAAAGAACAAAAACCAGAACAGGAACAAGAAGGAACTTTGACTTTTTAATTCATGTAGCGGAGAAGATATAAGGAAATTGATTAGAGTTTATTAACTTGCAAAATTAGAATATCCTTCTTGAAATAAAAGAGTTGAGCTCCATAAAAAGGGTGAAATTATGCCGCATGATATTTCCGGGGTAACAATTAGTCTAGAATGCTTTGTGCTTGGACATTCAGAGAAGATATAAACAAGCGCTTTCCTAGGTCAAACCATCCATTGCAACCTAATGCTTGGAGTCTACTGATATAGGATGATGATGTGCTGCGAATCTTAAATTTCTGACCAACTCAGGTTTGCTTCTCCTCTTTCTTCTATCTTCAAAAATTTTGAAACTCCACCAAAACTTTCTTTCTTCTCTCCTTTTGCTTTCAAATTTCCTTTCTCCATTGAATGAAAAACTTAACCCCTTTTTGTCCCTCTGAAGCTAATCCTTTTTCTTTATATTTGAATGTTACCAGGATTACAAAAATACCATCTCCTTGAGTATTTACTATCCATTTCATCCAAATAAATCCAGGTCAATGTTTTCTATTTCCAACATCAGCCAGCCAAGCAACCATTAACGAATTATTCTATATTCCGCTATGTTTTAAAGCCTCTTTACAATGAAATAGGAGTTTAGCCCTAATTTCAAGCAATAAAAGATAAAGGCCTTATTTCCAATTTTTGTAAAGATTGAGGGATTATTTGGGTATTATGCCTAAGGGAAAATAAAAAAAATTCCAGTAGTAAATTAGCATGTAAGTAGATATTTTTCAAAAGACACGTTGGCATTTTCCCATATTGCAAATGAAAGAAATTGTAGATAGCACATGAGCTGCGGCATCATTGACTAGATTTCACCATGATAATTGAAGTAATGAATTTTACCATTTTCAATGCTCCTAGAAAAACAACGGAGACATCATCGTCTTTTTTCTTCAGAACCGTGATCAGACTCTTTACAATCTCTGCAATGCCAGCTCCATGCATCACAAAATGAGAAATTATCTCTGGAGCAAGATAATCCTGCAGTGGAATTGGTTTTTGACTAAGTTTTCTTTAGAAAGAAAAGCAACAGTATTGCAACCAAATTACCATAAGCAGACTTCATAAGTATAATGTAAAACAAAAAAATTCTCCCAGAATGCAAGAAATAGCACATCAAATTCTACAGCACACACTGACCTTTGGAACTGTATCACTAGCAATTAACTTTGCAGCAGCAATCATGACTGCATCTCTATTTGTCTCCTCGATATACTCTTTGTTAACATCTTCATCTTCTGTCTCATCTGCAATACACACGTGCAAGGAGTCTCTAAAATTTG